TAATGGGCCGATAATAACTAAAGTTTTAAGGTGTTTTTTTATACTACTGTTTTTGCAATAAAAAATTAATTAAAATGAAAAAATAAAAATTCATTTATATAGTTTAAGACTCAATTTAACAAACCCAACAACTTTTAGATCGATATCTTTTATAGTTTTCTTGGAAAAAATTCGCGAAAATAGCCTTTTTTTTTAGGTGCTCAGAGTAGAAGGTCCCCTTAATTAAAAAGAAAAAATTTAATATCTTAAATTTTTGGATTTAAATAAATATAAATTGTTATTAACACAATTTTGTTTACTATTTTCTTTGTTTAATAATAAAAATTATAATAAAATATTTTTATTTTTTGTTATAATTTTGTATATATATATATTATAATATTGTATTACAGTATAAATTTTTTACTAATAAATTTAATTAATTATTTAATTAAATTATTATAATATATATATAAAATTAATTTAATTAAATATTTGTTTGTTTATTTTATTAACATATATATATATATATATATATATTTATGGTAATACTTTCCCTACATTTTTCTTTATTTTATTTATCACATTTATTTGACGATCTTTAAAAAATTAATATAAAGATTTTGATTGAATAAATAAAAAAATATATAATATCTTACATTATTATTGGATTTAAATTAATGTAAATTACCATTATCACAATTTTGTTTATGATTTTTTGTCATACAAAAAATCATTCACAGATGTCATCGTTAAATGAGAAAAAAAAAAAAGAAATAAAAAAAGGATTTGTAAAAAGGAATAATCGATACTTACGTATTTCGTTGAAGTAGAACGGATATTCTCCAGGTACCGAACAGTTAAGTCTGGCTTTCAGGAAGCTTGTCCATCTGTCGCTGAAAGCATGAGGACCGCCTTTGTCATGCTGGCAAACTCTACCAACTCGCGAATAGACTGCCTGAAAAATAAAACAAATAATACAAAAAATATCATTTCTTACAAACAATTCTACTTTTCTTTCTTTCTTTCTTTCTTTCTTTCTTTCTTTCCTTCTTTCTTTATTTCTTTCTTTCACTTCTTTTACTTCTTTTTCTTATACTTGTATTTTTACTTTCTTTTAGATTTTTATGTTGTTGTTTTTTATTTTGTTGTTTTTTTTTCTAATTTTATTTGAAACAAAGATAAAGATGTCTTACCTTGCCACAGTTCATGTACTCGACAGCAGTTTCACGATAGAAAAAGAAAACGTAATCCTCGTAAGCGAACGAGCTGACAAAATTTGGTCCTAAAAGAAAAAATAAAAATGTATTTTCATTTGTTACATTTGTTTAACATTTTCATTTTTAAATAATTTATATATAATCATTTGAACACTTTTGAGTGCTGAATATTTTTAAATAAAATGTTTTACATTAATTTTCGGCACATTCGTGACCGCTGACGTGAATTCACATTTTTTCAAGTTCTATTCCTGGTTACCACTGACGTGATTCACGTCATTTTAAATTGTACAAATTTATATTTATATATTTATAATTATAAATTAATATAATATTTATATTTATATTATAATTATAAATAAATTAAAAATTATATTTATATATATAAGCTTATATTTATAGTTATTGCAATATAATATTTAACTAATTATATATCTTATTATATATTATTATATTTTATTATTTAAATTTATATTTAATTATTTTTAAATATTATATATTGCAAATAACTAAATATAAATTTATATATAAATATAATTTTTTTTTAAATATAACATATAAATTAATTAAATAATTCATTATTTTTTCCAGTACTCAGTATAAAAAAATATGCCAGCCACGAATGTGTTAACAAACACGTATATGTATCGATAGACCACTTTTGTAATTTTTATCAAACACATATATGCGCCCATAGCATTCTAAAGGTTAACATAGTATCATTTTAAAACTTTCAAACATACTTCCTTTTTTATTCCCATAACAAGAGGATACTATTTATCCTTTTCATACTTCCTACAAATCCTTTTCCTAATTTCCTCAAAGGCTTTTTTTTTTCTTCTTTTTTAAAAAACAAATAAAACAGAAAAACCTTTCTACCATTTTTCACGTACTTCTTCTTCTGTACTTTTAATTTTCACAATAGATAGATCCATTTAAACTTTCAACCAAATTACAAATTATAAAACAACTTTTACAAATTTGACTCGAGACTTTTCTTTTTTTTTTTTTTTTCTTTTTTGAACAATCCCTGTAATTAGTACTTACCAACTTAAACAAGAATATATATACATATATATTGTACACGTATTTTCAAAACGTGTAAACTAAAACTTCTCAAATTATTTATTCTAATTCAGAGATGAATTCATATTGCATTCTCGTTACTTTTGAATCCGACACGTAACTCATACAAACACACACACACACACATACACACATACACTCATTCTTTCTCTTTTTATTTTCTTACGTACGTGTTCGTTTTAATTTAAAAATAATTCTACGTTTAAACGCTTTAATTACACGTTTTTAGCGAGTCTACGTTAATGATTCGTGGAAAACGAGGTAAATCATAGGAAAACTCACTAACCTAACTTCCTTTTCTTTTTTTTTTTCTTTCTTACATATACACACACACAAACACACATACTTTTACATTGGTTTATACTATGAAATGATAGAAACTAAAAGATTATCGTAAAACGTATTTGAAAATAGTCAAACTCGATGGAAATAGAAATCTAACTGAGGGGGTAGGTAAAGTTTATGGGGATATACGCAAAATACAGTGGGTACGATATCTCGATCGTTGAAAATGATTTATAAGCGTGACACCGATGAAGAGAGAGAGAGAGAGAGAGAGAGAGAGGGGGGGGAGGAACGAGGGAGGAACGGAGGAAGGATTGGTCAGAAGAGGAAAGGGCAAAGGGTGGTGGAGAACACGTTGGTTCGACATTCGGTAAAATTTCGTTACTAAAATCGGATAAAAGATGAGCTTTCGTGTTATCGAAAGAAGGGTTGGCGAAAAGCGAAGGGAACAGGAGGAAAAGGGGCATGTGAACAGAGTAGGGGGATAGTTTGGGGTGAAATGGGATGGGATGGGATGGGATGGGATGTGGGGGTAGGTCGAAATAAATCGAAATTTCCAAATAAATTGACTGTCGCATTCGTGTTCGCTGATAAGGATCAAATACCAACATGTCGATAACGGGGGTGTTGGAATTGATATTTGAAAGGTGGATGAGGGGTGATAAAGGGTATGCAAGGGTACTGGAGGGGTGGGAGATAGGTGCCTAAATACTAATTGTAAGTTTTATTCGTTCGTTTGTTAGTTCGTTTATTCATTTGTTCGTTCGTTCGTTCGTTCGTTCATTCATTCGTTCATTCAAAGTACGTTAAGCGGAAAATTAACGACGAATGGGGTAATATTCTTTCGACAGAAAATACGTGAGAAGGGGTAGGTGGAATGGGGGATTTTTTTTTAAATGATGAGAGAAAGAGAGAGAGAGAGAGAGAGAGAGAGAAACGAATAAATACTTTGTCGATAATTAAATTTTCATTTTCAATTCGTTTCATCGTCATTCTCATTCTCATTTCATTGCTCGACACATTTTGTATCGTACCTATTCATTTTTTTTTTGCTTCCTTGTAAAATTTCTCTTCTATCTTTTACATTTTTATTTGTACTTATTGGAAATTATTTTTGAAATTACAAAGGTTTAGTATTTTAATTAACATAATGATTGAACGTAACGTAATAGCTTTGTCATATCACGTATGATGGTTATACATTTTGTATATTAATTTTAAACCATTTGTTATAGTATTTTTTTTTTTTTTCATATATTTATGTTGAGGATTATTCTCTTGTAATTTTGTTAGTTAGTTTTTTTTTCTTTAAAATTTTTTTATATAGAACAAACGATACGTTTTTGTTAGAATCATCCCCACACCGAATTGCATTTGATTGACGTAACGTTATATCAAATGCATTGATTTTTCACACTCGATTTACGGATATCGAATTGTGTAAGCTAGTTTTACGCAGACACTCTTTGTCTATTCGTATTGACATTTTGCGTTTGAATGTTTTTTTTTTCTTTTCTCGTATTTGCAAAATAATTATGAAATAGGATGGATGTAGTAAATGTTGATGTTATAAATATTATTATTATAATTTAAAACAAAACTATGTGTGTATGTGTGTGCAGATCACACAAGTTAGAAAGTGAATATTTAGTATTTTACATGAGAACAAAATAAATGTTTAAAGATTGAAATTATTCAATGTTAGACATTTAATGATCGTCATAAAAATAATAAAAGATTAGAAAATTGTTCATTATTTTATTGATGAACGATAACTTAAAATAATTTATATTTATGTATGCATATATAATAATAATAATAATAATAATTACCATTCAATTGATTTAAATCAGATCGTTCCGTTCGTATCTTGTCCCTTAGGATAAGGGGCGCACCTCCAGTGAAATCCGCAACTGTCGCAGCGTATAATTGTCCCTCTGAAACACAGAAACGTTTCTCCTGTCAAAACGTCACGTTGAAGACGATTTACCTTGCGGCGTAACGTTTAGAATGGTTAGTTAGGGGTGAACGGGTGTAGGGAAGGGGGGTGTCCAAGATGACACTCTCAAATCAAAGTTACAATTATAACAGGGCTGCTTTTGGATTACGTTTTAAAGACAAACCTTTAATTTAATTAATTTTCAAACGGTAATGGATTAAAATTAAATAAAATTACCATGGAATTATTAACAAAAAAAAGAAAAAAAAAATTTCATATTATTATAATATATATAGTCGATATTTATGCAACCCCTTTGTTTTACAAGGGTGTTGTTCAAATACGAATCATGAATTACACATATCCATAAAACATTAAATAAATTAATGAAAAATATAATGTTTTTTGAATGCTAATGAAAATATATTGTAATATTTGGGGTGGAATTTTACAAGGGGTGCCCTTTTGGTATTTTGGGATTCCACGTAGACGCTTAATCCGTCACTGTTTTCATATCCTCTTCGTTTCACGCTAATTGTAAAATGAAGGTGGTACAAAGCACTCGTGGAATCCTTCACCTTTCTCATTCTACTCATCATCTTTGAGAAGAACCTTCCCTTCCCCTCTTCCTACCACCTTTTCCTACCCCCATTACAGCTGTCTTTCAACGTACTGCTATATCTACACCCCCATTACGCGTTACGAACGCATACCTTTCCCCTATATGTGTTGTAAAGGTTCCTTCAAACTATTCCTACACTGTTCAACCCTCCTTTCTATTGAAATATATATGTATATGTGTGTATGTGTGGACGATATAGGGATAGTTTTCTCTGAATATTAATCATTCGCATTATAAGGTCAACGTGACACACACCATTTTATTAATAATTAATTCGTTATGTTATAAAATAAATCTGTTTCATAAAAAATTGATTCGATGATTTATTTCAGATTAAAAAATATCAAATTAGATTTTTCTTCTTTTTTTTTTTATATATATAAAAATAAATTACAGTACGCAAGTTTCTAAAAAAAAAATATGAAAAAAATAGGAAAGTTAATCGATAATATTCTACACTTAAATTGTTTATTATACAAAAACATTTCTTTTTTTTTTTTTCTTTTAAAATTATTCACACGTAGATAAAGACAAGTAACAAATCCAATTTTTATCCACACTAATTAATTCTTATTTTATTTTTTTTTTTATTTATTTCGTTTTATCGAATTTGTAATGAATATAAATAATAATAATAATTTAAATTTTATTTAATATAAATAATAATAAATACAATTTAAAATTTATTTCATTTATTACATATATAATTCAACTTGATATAATTAATAATAACAAAAATAATATATTTCGTTATCATTGAATAATTCATTACATATTATTATTACTTTTATATATATATATATATATAATGACAATCCCCAGGAGACGGTTATCTTTATAAAGGTATACGCGAGATGAATAGAGGGTTGGTAGGAGAAAAAGGGAAGTAAATTTCGTAATTTGTTTGACGTTTAATACCTATCGCATTGAGAACGTGTAGGGACAAAGCAAATAAAATGGAAAATTGAGAGGATAATCCGTTGTTTAATATTTGTTATTTCACGTCAAACCAACCTCTATTTTCGAGTATGGACATTCACATACAAAAAGAGAAATAGTGAAACAGAAAGAGAAAGACAGAGAGAGAGAGAGAGAGAGAGACGATTACATATATATATATATAGAAAGATAAATAAATAGAATAAGAGAGAAAGAGAGAAAGAGAGAGAGAGAGAGAGATAAAGAGAGATAGAGAGAGGAAGTAAAATTTTGTTATTTACCCTATTTCCACGAGCGATTACTTAATTACATTTCTTGCGGCTCCCTTTGAAAGTAACATTCGCGAATGTTTGCGAATCGTAACGAACGTTCTGTTCTCCCCAAAACTCTACATGCATGTATATATGTATGTATGTATGTATGTGTTACTAGTGAACACATATATAGTTCTATTTCAACCTAGTACCCCAAACCATATTCTATTCTTCTCTTTTCCTCTACTCTTCCTCCAACTACCACCACCACTATCCTACACCACCTTTTCAACCCCTACTCTCAGGTAACCCCGTTTTCAAAAGCAAGCACTGAAAATTATTTATTCTCCTCTTTTGTACGTGTGGTACAACAAACAAGTTCTTCCATGAGAAGAACGTTTTCGATGAGATACAAGTTAGTGGGATGGATGATACCACACGTGTGTTTAATTTACGACACGTTTCTATACAATTCAACATTGTAAAATACCTACGAAAATTTCTAACATATATATATATATATATATGTATAAATGTAATAATAGTAAAAGATAGTAAAAGTAATAGTAATAGTAGTTTATTGTACTACACAAAATGTTAGGAGTGGGGGAAATACACATACATACATACATACATACATACATACATACACTCATATACGAAGGACACGAAAAGTTTGCGGAATGTGAAATCGAATTTCAACTGTGAGAGATACTCGAGATTCCTCCTCATTCTTTCTCCCCCGACCCTTTCAACCCCCTCATCTTTATCTATATCTCTATCTCTTTCACATACAGATATATTTCAGTATGGAGGGAGGGGGAATTTATTCAAACGTTCGCGTATAAGGGGTGAGGGCGGGAGGGCTAACACACAAGTTTTCGGTTATTTCGAAGAAGAAGATTTCACATTCTCTTCAACCCCACCACACATTCACATTTCACCCTTATCCAATCTTTTTCTTTCTTTCTTCCTTTTTTCTTCTTGATCTTTTAGAAAGAAGTAGTAAAAATAGTGGAATAAAAAGGACACTGATATGTATGTATTTCTTCTACTACTACTACTACTGTTACTATTAGTGTATAAAGAAAATAAAACACACCCTTAGGTAGTGAGAGATACTACTAACGTGTATTTGAAAGTAAGTACATTTTCGTATACACAACTAACTCTCAAGTAACCAACCAACTTCTCATCCAACCCCTGCCCCCTCCCCCTCCCTCTCCTCCACCAATACCAACACCAAGTTTTTCTTCTACGGTGTACTACTGTATTTCTATATTTCTATTCACGTTCTGTTTTTTTTCGTAGAAGAAGATCTTTCCCGAAGGTCGTGGTGGCATCATGTTACTATTTCTCGTGGCGTTTTCATATTTTACGTTCAAAAAGCACGATGGGATTTTGAGCATGGTGGTGGAATGGCAGAGGGTGGCACCAATGTCGTATTCATACGATAAGTGTATATCTATATCTATATATATTTATATATGTGTATGTATATATATATATAGTAAACCCTACTTGGTCGTATATAACAGACGAAGTAGACGTTAGACTTAGGGGATGAACGTGCTCGTTGCAGGGCTACAAATCTACGGTGAGCTCACTGGTAACACTGAAGCCTGCGAATACTCACATATTCTCTATCTCACTCTCTTTCTATGTTTCTATGTTTCTATGTTTCTCTTTTACTCTTATACGTCTCTTTCACGTCGTGTTCCTAATACCTTATATGAAGAAAATAGGTGAGAGAAAGAAAGGGATACCTGACGTATCTTTAGTCATCGTTAACTTTAACATATAACTCTGTTTTCTAATAAATATTATTTATTAGATATATATTGAATAATGAGTATGTTTGTTATTTGTTTAAAATATGATGTAGTTAATATTAGTATTTGAATATTATAATATACAAATTTAATATATTAATAGAATATTAAAAGTTGGATAATGTAATATTATTAAATATTGAGAATATATTTTTATATTTTCCTATAAATATTTTATAAAATTAATTTTTAATATTAAGTAGGTTATATATTAGAATTTTAATATTAATAAAATATTAAAAGTTGGATAATGTAATATTATTAAATATTTGAAATATATTTTTATAATTTCCTTATAAATATTTTATCAAATAATTTTAAATATTAAGTAGGTTATATTGCAATTTTAATATTATATACAAATTCAATATAATAATTATAAAATATACTAAAAGTTGAATAATATAATATTATTAAATATTTAAAATATATTATTTCTATATTTTCCTATAAATATTTTATAAAATAATTTTAAATATTAGGTAGTGTTAATATTACAATTTTAATATTATATACAAATTTAATATAATAATTTTAAAATATTAGAAGTTGGAACACCTAATATTATTAAATATTTAAAATATATTTTTATATTTTCCTTATAAATATTTTATCAAATAATTTTAAATATTAAGTAAGTTATATTGCAATTTTAATATTATATACAAAATTAATATAATAATTATAAAATATTAACAGTTGGAGCATCTAATATTATTAAATATTAAAAATATATTATTTTTATATTTTTTAATACATATTTTAAAGGGTATAATATACAACAGAATGAAAGGAATTTTGATGTAAGTTAGACAAACGTTACGAAAAACTTCTACGTTACGAAAAATTTATGTGTCATATTTTTCGGTTTTTCTTTTTAAAAAGGTAAAACATAAAAGAGAAAAGCTTGAAGGGGGGGGGGGAAAGAAAATCATAAGAATGTAAAAAAGAAAAGGGTTGAAAATGTGAGAGAACTTTTCGGAGTTGTACAAACAATTCTTACGTAGAACCAAACCCTCTTTCCGCGTTTAAATGACGATTTTGTCTTGAACAAAAATTGAATCACTCTTTGTTCAAGGAAAAATAAGAGAGAGAAAGAGAGAGAGGAAAAAAAGAGAAAAAAATATAAAAATATAAAAAATAAAAAAATAAAAATATAAAAGGGAAAGTATTCTCTTTTTCTTTATTTTTTCTTTTTTTCTTTTCATTGTAGAAAAATGGCAAACTATATGGTGTCGGAAAAGCAAACGCACGATCGAGCAAATGATTTCCTCGTTTTCTCCAGTTTCACGGTATGTAATACAT